TGTGTTCCAGATCACAGAGGCAGTCAGGGCTCAGGAAAAATTGGGGCTTTGATCATGGTCAGCCTGTTTGATTATACAGTGTTTGGTAATACCAAGTTATTACAAGTGTCCAAATGTTAGCTTTAGGAAACTACTAAAAGAACAATTAAATCTGTTCTGTTGTCTCTTCACTTGACAGTAACATTAATTGAATTTTGGTTTCTACAGATCTGCTTGGCTTGGAGCCCTTCCATATCGCCTGTAGGCGTTTGACCTGCTGGGGTGGCTGTGCTCTGGGCACACATGCTTTTAAATCAGCAGTGTAGAGTGGAATTAGTCAAGCAAGTGTGTCAGTGTCCTGCTCTTTACAAAAACAGATGGTTTAGTCTTAAATGCACCTCACTGCCTGCCACTGTACAGCTTTAGGATTTATTGTCACCTCCTGGAAGGTATAAAATTCCAGGCTTTCTCTTGTAGTCCTTCCAGACTTGTGACTACGGCTTTTCATTCTTCCAATTCACGACAGGTTCCAAACTTTGTTTCTTCTGGGTACAACTTTCTCCCTGTGTGCTTCTCGCTTCCTGTCTCTCTTCTGCCTCTCCTCTGCTCCACATTCCCACTTTCTCTCTCTGTCTCACTTCTGCAATCCAGGAACGTTGATAACCTGCTTGATATTCCAAAGGGCAGGTTCCTCTGATTCCTTGCTTCTAATCTCCTGTCTTTTCAAAATGGTTTTGTAAACCTCTCTCAACCTTAAAGGAAATCTGATGGTGCTCAGGAATTCCCCAACCGCCCTCCCCTCCCAGCAGGCTACTCCCTTTCACTGCTTCTAGGGCATCTCAGTTGAACTTTCTTCGTTTTTTTCTCTTTCTATTTGGTACTCCAAGCACTTTTTTGTTTGTCTCTAAGTTGAGCGCTTGGAGGTTGACAGGTAGTAAGGTGTAGTTTGACACTGTTAATACATTAAATGAATACAGTAAAAAGTTTGTTGACAAATGAGTGAAGAATGTTGACAAAATGATAACGCTTTGTACAAATAAAGAACATTCTTGTTAAAAAGTGATGACTCCTGTTTCATCCTGCTTGTTTATAGTGTGCTTTGGGGGAGGACCCACTGATCATGCCCTCTGCAATTTTGGGGGTGTGGACTAGGCTGGACCTTTGTACATATGGGATCCTGCATCACCTTGGATCACCAGCAGGTGCTGCTCGTTCACAGGCAAGGGCGCTGCTCTTCAACCACAGCAAGAGCTTTTGCTGGCTCCGCCAGGCACCCTATACATACTAGATGCTCAACAATTCTAAACATGTATGGGCTCCCTGCTGTGTGTCTGGCACTGTTCTAAATGCTGTCAAGTATTAACTCCTCAACCCTATGAAGGAGCACTGGTGTTAGCTCCATGATCTCAACTATAACGCCATATTATCTCCACAGCTTTTTCAAATCACGGATTTATAAATAACATTTCGCAAAGATACAAGTCCAACAGTAATTGGATCCAGTGACTTTTTCCTTCTCCACGGCAGAAACATCGGTTCTTGAAATTCCCAAGAGCACCACTCAGCCAAGCCCTCAAGTCCCATCTGGATTCCTCTGGCTTCCTCTGAGGCCAGTTTCCTGCCTCATCTTTGCTTCCCTTGGCTTCCCCTGTGTACTGCTTGCCAAGTGGATCTTCCTGGAACATTGTTATTTCAGAGTCCCTCACTGCTTCCTATTAAGTCAAATCCAGACTTAAACTTGTTACTCAAAGCTTGCTTAGGGAGGACTTGCTTTACTGTCTATTCTAATCTACTCCAACCTAAGGCTCCAAGGATGAAGCCCCAAAAGAACTCTCCTTCCACATGGCTTTGGTTCTTAGCCAACTTTGACTACCTAAGAAAAATCATGTTTCCTGAGAGTGGGGGCTATGATTTAAAACTAGAGAATTTAAAAACTGGGAAGAGGGGCCGGCCCTGTGGCCAAGTGGTTAAGTTCACACGCTCTGCTTCAGCAGCCCAGGGTTTCACCAGTTCGGATCCTGGGTGTGGACGTGGCACCGCTCATCAGGCCACGCTGAGGTGGTGTCCCACATGCCACAACTAGAAGGACTCACAACTAAATAAAATATGCAACTATATACTGGAAGGATTTGAGGAGAACAAGTAGAAAAAAAAAAAAAGATTGGCAACTTTAGCTCGGGCCAATGTTAAAAAAAAAAAAACTGAGAAGAATCTTTGAGGTCATCCACCAGTTTTTCCAAACCACCCCTCTATCATTCCTGTAGTACTGATTTTGAAGCTTCCATACTAGGCTAAGGTAATGTTTCTCATCTTTTTTTATTTACTTACTTATTTATTTACTTATTTATTTTTTTGGAGGAAGATGAGCCCTGAGCTAACTACTGCTGGTCCTCCTCTTTTTGCTGAGGAAGACTGGCCCTGAGCTAACATCCATGCCCATCTTCCTCTACTTTATATGTGGAACGCCTACCACAGCATGGCTTGTCAAGCAGTGCCATGTTTGCAACCGGGATCCCAACCGGCGAACCCCGGGCCCCCGAGAAGCGGAACATGCGAACTTAACCGCTGTGCCACCAGGCCGGCCCCCTCTCATCTTCTTTTAACCACAGCCCTTCATGCCCAGACATTCTTATCTAGATTTGGAGGGTAGGAGGGGTTACCATCCTCACGCATGCAAAATTACTTTTGCAGCCTAATCTATTTTTGCCAATGGGAAATTGAGGCTCATCAGAGAGAAGCAACTTGCTCGACATCTTACCCCTAATTTATGAAAGCTGGGCTCCTATTTCAGGGGCCTGCAGCCTTGCTTCTATAAACTTTTTATTTTGGAACAATTTTAGATTTACAGAAAAGCTGCAAAGAGTGGAGAGAGTTTCCATGTAACCATCACTCAACTTGCCCTCATGTTGACATCTTATATAACAATGGTACATTTGTCAAAACTAAGAAAAAACTATCAATTCAATGCCAAACTATTTGTATTTCATCAGTTTTCCCACTAAAGTCCTTTTCTGTTTGAGGATCCAACCCAGAATACCACACTGCATTTGGTGAACCAATTTTCTTTTTTAATTGAGATGGAATTCACAGAACATAAAATTAATCATTTTAAATGGGCAATTTAATGGCATTTAGCACATTCACAATGTTGTGCAATCACCACCTCTATCTAGTTTCAAAATAAAACCACTTACCCATCAAGCAGTTGTCCCCCAGCTCCTGGCAACCACCAATCTATTTCTTTTTATGCTTTTCACGGTGTTTGGCACAATGCCATGTACCTACCTGGGAGGCACTCACAATAGTTTAGTGATTTTCTTGTTTTTACTTTTCATTAAAGTATAATATACATACTAAAAGGTACAGGTAAGTATAGAGCTTGATGAATTTTCACAAACTAAACGCATTCATGTAACTCACACTCAGATCAAGAAACAACACGACCAGCACCCTAAAAAGCCCCTTTGGTCTCCCACTCACTCTCTGTCTTCCCAGTGGTGGTTGCCATCCTGACTTCCCACAGCACAGATTAATTTTGCCAGGGTTTGTATTTCATATAAACGAAGTCATGCAATATGGACTCTTGTGTCTGACTCCTTTTGCTCAACATTACGTTTAAGATGTATTCATATTGTTGCAGTCACAATACGTTTTTATGGATAAGAGTGAAAGATTAAAGTAAAATTATTTTTAAAAAGTGGGGGGTAAGGGTGGGAACAGTTCAGTCAGTAAGAGAAAGATGTGGGAACAATAGATTACCCCAAACTGCAACATTTAAAAATTTTCCACCCTGTTCGGGCTCTTGGAGGTAGACGGTCCTAGTTATTTTTAGTTATCAATAAACTCAGAAATGGAACAAGTGTCATGAAAGAAATGTTGGGCAGGGAGATGTCTGAACCGGGGGAAAAAATGAATATTAATTAGCCCTATGAGTTGAAGGAGCTTGGTTAGCAGGCATTGCAAAGAAAACCCAGTATGACATGTGGCAGATTATTTAATCTCCCCGGCGATTATTTTCCCAGTCTGTAAAATGAGAAGAGTAACAGAGTTGTCAAAATTAAGTAAGTGAATGTAAAATGCATGGTACTGTCCCTGACTCTAACGCACAACAAACATTACTTCCTTTCCACCAGCTTCCTTGCTTGAACACAGATCAGAATTCTTTAGCTGAGGACTAAGCAGTGTCCTATTTCCCTAGCATACAGCTTCTCTGCCTCTTTAACGTGGAATATAAAAAGGTATAAAACACGTTTGGGGCAGAGATTTTGAGAAATAAAACCTGAGAATAAGTGTAATAACAACCCACTGGCATCCTCTACAATTGAGTCAACTTTTCGGTAATCCCTGACACACCTTTATAAAGGCATTCTGGCGCTACGGTATTGATCACGACCCCTACTTCACCCATCCAATCCCGCCAGTTCCAAGCCCCACTCGCCTCGCCACATCCCTGCCGCCCGTGCACATCCTCTGCCCCACCCCGCCACAGACCTTCAGTCAGATCTCTCACTGCACCCACCACAGACAGGCCTGATGCCCAAAGTGCCCCCGTCTTTCACATCACGTCTCCCAACCCATGGCACAGAGTGGGCCCTGAGCAATTAAACTGGAATCAATTTTCTCTGAAACCTTGGAAGGCAGCCTGGTGCTGAACTCAACAACTTTAAAATGATCGGTCCGCAAAAGTGGACTCAGTTATTGAGTTAGGCATTATGGTGTTGTTTTAATGTCCTTGACATCCAATTATTCTTTCAACAAACAACCAGCGACAAGAATGCGCTCGGCTGGGAAGAAGAGAATCGTAACGGGAACCTCAGCGCCGTGCCTCCCCCGCACGCCCCCTCCCGCGCCGCTCCTGCGTCCCCACGCGGGCTCTCCCGGGTCCTTCCCCGCGCTTGCGCAGGCCGCGGCGCGGGGAGGGGCGGGCCCGCCGGCCCTTCGGCACACCCGATTGGCCAGGCCTCGAGCCTGGCGTGCGTGGGCGGGGCCGCGGATTGAGCGGACAGGCCACCAGCAAACGGCCCTCAGGGGGCGTGGTCTGCACGCGGTTTGGGGCGGGCTGTGAGGGGGCAGCTGCTTCCGGGCGGGCCGCCCCACCCCCACGTGGGCCCGGGGTGGCCAGAAAGAGCCACAGCGTTGGCGGGAGCGGCGCCTCGCACCCCGTAGGCAGGCAGGTGAGCCGGGGTCGGACTCGGGGAAGTGGCGGACTTGGAGGCGGGAGCTGTGGCACCGAGAATCCTGCGTCTCCAGACGCAGATCGTACTGTGCGCCTGAAGCGCTGGCGGTGCAGCTGGGGGCGGAGTCCCTGTGGGGCCCCTGTTTGGGCACTTAGAGATAGATGGCCCTGCTACGGGACCGTAGCCTTGGGCTCCGCGTCTGCTCTCCGGGGTCCACCCCGTTGGAGACCGCTGGGTCAGTCTCCATCAGTGCAGAGTCCGAGGTGCCTCGCAGGATGGGGGAGGGAGATGGAAGCAATAACAGCCGCTTTGTGCCAGGCTGGAACCAGGGTTTGAACCCATGTCTACAGACTCCAAAACCCGCTTAACCGTTATGCTGCCAGTTGCAGCCAGGTCTAGTCACCGTTGTACCTCTTTCCTCCCCCACCCCCTTCACCTAGAGTTCTCCCCAAGTCCCAGTCTGCTGGTGAACACCCCTGATATCTGTACTTCGAGTATCAAGGGGTAACGGCGGGCCTTGAGAATCGGGCTGCTGGAGACCTGGAGTCTAGCCCCAGTGCTGCCACTGACCCCCTGCATGATCTTGGGCCAGTGTCTGCCCTTCTCTGAGCCCAGCTTCGCCATCATTTCACTGATGTAATCAGCAAGCTTTAAGAAGCCTCTTAGCCAAGATGTTCTAGGAGTCTGTGGAACTGGTATATTCTCCTTATAGCTCCAAATAGCTAAGCCCAGAGAAGACTGGGCCCTTCAGAGCCCTAGATCAAGGCCTGGTCTCACTCTTCTCTTTAATTCCTGTGTCTGGCACTGGGGCAGGCCCAGAGGAGACACTCAGGAAAAGTGGGTTGCATAAACAGGCAGCCTGGTGACAGCTGCTGTCCTGGGCCCTTCTGGGGCTTTGGATTTCTCGGCCCTGGCCACCTCCTACCTAGCTGGCCCTCTTGACTGCTTCCTGCCTGGCTAGTAGCAGAGCCTGCCAGAACTGGGAACAGCTCCCAACCCTCTGTGCCAAGACCACAGCCTCCAGAATCCTCAGCAGAGCACAACACGGGGGGATTCAGCCCTGCGGTACTTTCTCAGCTGCCCTGGTGGCCGCTCTCAGGGCCCAACTTAGGTGACTCCCAGGTTGGGCGAGTTGTCTTCTAAGGAAGGAGGTCCTTTCACAATCAATCTGAAAATGACTTATCCCTCAATGTCTCCTCTTCCATGAAGCCCTTCTTGACTCCCAGAGACAGGTCCCTCCCCCAGCTCCTAGTTCACCTCTCTGCTGTAGGATCTGTATGCTGATTATTTCTCTTCCACCACATAAGGTGCTAGAAGGCACAGACCCTGCCTCAGATAGTTTGGAAGACCCCGTGGCCCATACAGCTTTGGGTGTAAACTCTCCTTCTGGGTGTGGTGCAGAAGGCACAGCTGCGATGGCACAGATGCCAGGAGGTCTGCTTCCAGCTCAGCTCTACTCCTAATGATAACAAAGGGAGCTACACAGTTACCATGTGGCTACTTGGTGCCAGGCACATACCTCGTCACTAAGGCTGACCTTCCCTGTAGCTTTGCAAGTTTGATAGTATCATTCCCATTGTATAGATTATGAAATGAAGACTCTGAAAGGCCAGCCGCATTGCCCAAAGTCACACACACAGCACAGACCAGACTTGGGACTGTTTGGCCCTGGAATGTGCTTCTTTCTGCATCGCCCTAGGCTGTGCAGCAAAGCCTTCCAGCAAAGCCAGCCTGTTTTACTGTGGGTGAGCGTAGGTGCTGGGTCCCACGGTGACTTGCTGTTGTCTTCAGTGTAGTGTCACAGGATCTAGGCTGTGGCTTGCGGGCTCCCTTGATTTGGGAGAAGCGCCACTTGGAAGTGTGTGAAGCTCTCCCAGTCTTAGGGATGTTTTGCAAAGCGAAACCTCCGCCTGGATTAGGCTCTGCGAACAGAGATGCGCCTCCGTTGCTCAGGGCGTGCTTTTCTACCCCGCAGACATTTACTAAGCACCTCTTTGAACAGAATGACTGTGTGGTGGAGGTAACGGGGCACGGGACTAGAAGCCAGGGGACGCATGGTCGACTTCAGCTCTGTACCTGACTCACTGTGGATCTCGGGTCCTCTCGCCTTTTTGCACTCCGCTTTCCATGTCAGAATGTACGGAGTTAAACAGGATTGGTGATTTTCAACTTTTTAAATTTTTTTCAGCACTCATACTTGATAGAAGTCAAATCTCTCTGAACTCTAAAATTAAAAAAATAGCTGAAAGTAGAACTGCGCTAGTAAGGCCTCCCTCACCACTCTCACCCTCCCCCTTGTCCCCCACCTGCAAACCCCCAGGCTCCTCAGGGTGAAATTTGGACCACAAAGCTCCTGGGCAGCCCTGCCCTGTTGCTTCTGATGAGCAGGAGGCATGGGCTCCCTTAGCCTTCTAAAGCAGATGGGGAGTTGAGGCCAGTGGAATACAGCTTTGGATTCCAGAAGCCAGGGGCCTGCTACCAGGACTGTTTTGTGGGAAGTGAATCAGAGATGTGTAGACATAGCTTCAAAATCTGACTTAACTCTCCAGAATGACATTGAGCAAGTCACTTAACCTCTCTGAGCCTCTGTTTCCTTATCACGAAAAGTTGGAATAACTCTCTTCAACTAAATGAGATAATATATATACAGAGTACCTCGTCCAGTGCCCAGCACGTAACATCCACTGAGTATATTTTTCTGTTTCCTCCATCTCTCCAGCTCCCAAGACAATGATAGTTTGGGCAGAAAGATGCCTGCTGAATCAAGTGTCATCAGTACTATGGGCATAATAGAGAAAACCTTGCACTCGTTGTCTAGAACAAATTCAAATTCTGGCCCAGTTACTAACTAGCTGTGTGGTCTTGGGCAAGTGAGTTAACCTCTCTGACCTGGGCTAATCCCTGACAGACCTGAGAGCAACTCTTGCATAAAATGGGCGTTCAGGACTTTGTATCTGCTGAATGATTGCTCATTTGGGGGTTGGGACATCTTTGAGGAGGCCTGGCTTGTCCCCGTGTCAGATGATGTGGCTGGCTCAGGGGCGTGGTGGTAGGGTGGCTCCCTGTGTGGCTCCTGATAACCCCCACCCTGCCAGGAGGAGGATCAGATAAAATGGGCCCCTGAGCTGGTTGGGAGGGTGCTAAAGAGGCCTGGGAGACTGGAGAGAAAGACTTGATCGTGTACTAAAGGACCCCCTGCCCAGGAGTCGACACACTAAGATTCCACTCCTGCTGTTTAGCCTCTAACTGGCTGTGTAAGCTTGGGTAAGTCCCTGTCCCTCTCTGGGCCTCGAGGTCCCATTTGTGCGAGGAGAGATTGGCGGTTCTTTATTTTTCTTCCCTGCTTGGCTACTGGGTGTTACCCCAGGCACCTCCAAAAGGAAGTGTCTAAAATGGAGCTCTCCACCTCCTCTCCAAGCTCAGCTGCCCGCCGCCCTCTTCCTGCCTTGTCCCTGTCTCCGTTGCCCTCCAGGTCAAGCAAGCTCAGAGCATCCGCCCCAAGAGACTGCCTCTTGGCCGCCTAAGGATGGCCCCTCCTTCTCCGCCCCTCTGACCCCCACAGCCTCTGCCTCTCTGCTCAGGCTGCAAGAGTCATCTTCCTGGCTTTGACCAGGCCACTCCCCCGTCCCCTGCTCAGAAATCTTCCGTGACTTCGGTCTGGCCCCCTCTCCACCCCTCCCCTCCATACACACATCCTAGATGGCCGCCTGAGTCCTCAGAACCTTCCACAGCCATTCCTCCTTCCCCATCTTTGCCCCTTGCTTCCCTTCCTGAGGGAACGGTCCCTCCTTTTCCTCTGCCAAGCTGAACGCACTTCTGCAAAACCGAGTTCAAGTCCCCTTTTCTCCCAATGAGCTGCTTCTGACCTCCAAACTCACATTGACTCCTGGTTCATTCGTGGTAGGCTCCTCTCGGAGATGCTCTCGATCAGCCCCACCTCCCAACTCAAGGAGAAATCATGCGTGCAAGTGCCCAGCATGGCCTGGCACATAGTAGGTGCCCAAGAAACAAATGTTATTGCCCCAGCTTCCTTCTATCTTAGTCCCTTATTTGGCATTTAGGGCATATTGTCTTGTACTTCATGTAATTAAATATTTGCTGTGTGGCAGAGGGCTGTAGGGCAGGTGAAAAGGAACCGACTGTGGACCCTGCCCTGTGGATGCTCAGTCTCCTGGGATGAGATAAGATAGGGCCACGAAGAACTGTTACATAAGAGGTTGTAATCTGGGCAGAAGAGAAGCTTCATGGGAGAGGGAAGGAGGGGGTGCCTCGTGGGGAACCCTGGAGGATGTTGGGGTGGGGATGATGTGGAGAGAGCGCAAGCCTTCTAGGTACAGGGAACAGGGTGAGCAGAGTCACAAGGTAGGCAGGGATGGCTTAGGGAGCAGCAGGGGACTCTCGGGCTGGAAAAGACGGGCTTCAGTGGCCACTTTACAGGGAGAGTGTCTGGCTGGCTGGCTAACTGGTGCAGTGCTGTTTAATCCTCTTAGTGTGTGTCATGCCGAATAAGAAGTCCCTGTACCGAGGGGTTAACAGTGCTTTTCCCCAGAGATAGAATTACAGGAGATTTTTCTCTTCTTGCTTATCTAAAATTTCTGCTGAGTTGGGGCCAGCCCCGTGGCCAAGTGGTTAAGTTTGCGCACTCCTCTTTGGCCACCCAGGGTTTGCCAGTTTGGATCCTGGGCATGGACCTACACACTGCTCATCAAGCCATGCTGAGGCAGCATCTCACGTAGAAAAACTAGAAGGCCCTACAACTAGGATATATAACTATGTACTGGGGCTTTGGGGAGAAAAAAAAAAAGACAAAGATTGGCAACAGATAGTAGCTCAGGGCCAATCTTCCTCACCAAAAAAGAAACCATGCTTTAAAATTTCTGCCAAGCACATGGACGTTTTCCATGGAATAAACGAAGTTTAAATGTTGGCTAGATCGGTGCTTCTCGTACTAATTTCCAATCTGTCACAGATTGATTCTTTGATAAAATACAGTAAAAATGAGCCACTAGAGACTTGTTATTTATTGGGTGCAAATTGCCATGAAAGTTTCTGAAGGCCGACTTTGGTTTCTCTACTTATCTTGTCGTCGTTGACCGGCAGGGTTGGGGAACCACACTAGGAGCAGCTAGTGAGCAGGGGAGGCGGGAATCTGGAAGAGCCCGGGGGTACCGTGTCTCATGCGCCTCCCATCGCCCCCACAGAGCTGAGCACACAGCGGACGCCTCAGGAGCCCTCAGTTCAACCAGCTGGCTGCCCAGTACCCCCAGTGCCCACCATGCAGCCCCAGTCGGTTCTGCACAGTGGCTACTTCCACCCGCTGCTTCGGACCTGGCAGGCGGCCACCACCACCCTCAGTGCCTCCAACCTCATCTACCCCATCTTTGTCACGTGAGTGCCCAGGAACAGGCTGGCCTCTGATGTGCAGGGTGTGCGTGACCAGAGCAGGCATCTGGGCTGTTATGGTTGGCAAAGTGGACTGTCAGCATAGAGCTGAGGTATTGGAAGTGGCCTCCTGGGTTTGGGACAGCAGTTTTAGGAACAAAACAAACCTTGAAAAGAACTCAGTCTTCGCATTTGGAAGACTGGAAGAATCATCGTGGCCTGCCATCCTGAGCGTTTGCACTAAGACAGAAGCTGAGAAGGTGTTCTGTGGGTTGTCGAGTGCTCTGTTCGTGTAAGAGGTGGCAGTCATGATTATTAATAAAAGCAATGGCTGACATTTATTGAGTACTTACTGTGTACCAGGTACTATGCTAAGCACCGACATCTGTATTATCTCATTCATTCCTGACAATATTCATATGAGGAAGGTATAAATATTATCCCCTAGAATGTCACTTCCACAAGGATGGGATTTTTGCCTGTTTTGTTCCCTGGTGTGTCGCCAGAGTCTAGAACAGTGCCTGGCCCATAAAAGTGCTCAATAAGTGTTTGTTGAATGAATGATGAATCCACCCAGGACAGAGATGAAGGGCCTGAGGCTCAAAGAGGTGGTATGACGTGGCCAAGCTCACCCAGTCAGTAAGTGGCTCGGATGGCAAGAACCTTCTGACGTGGGAGTCCAGGTTCTTAGCCACTGACTCCTTCTATGATGACTGTCCTGTGGTACAGTAGCTCTTGTTGTCACTGTCATTCTTGTTGCTCCTGTTATTATTTCAGGCCCTGGGCTTGGCCAGTCAGGGGAACCAGACACTGGATCCCATCCTCCTCCACCATCTCCACTTCCATAGGCCTTCCCCGCTCCCCAGCCATCCGTCTCGGTCACCCCCTCACCAGTGGCCCTTCCCACGGCTCCCAGTCCATAGCCCACCCCCCGCTTTTGCAGGGATGTTCCTGATGACGTGCAGCCTATCGCCAGCCTCCCAGGAGTGGCCAGGTAGGAGGCGTGGTGGGGGGAAGGGAGGGGGATGATGGAGGGAGAGATCTCACAGGTGGAGGTGCCAGGAAGCAGAAGCAGACCCGGCAGGTAGAAGATCCGGAGAGACAGAAGGCTTTTCTCAGGGCCGAAGTTGTCCCACAGCAGAAGAGGCAGCCTCCTAAAGTAATGAGCTCCCCACCACCAGAGGCATCACAGCAGAGGCTGTTGCAGAGGAGAGCTGAACTTCAGAAGGGAGGTCAATAAGAGAACCTTGGAGAGGCCTTCCACAGCTGAATTCCATAGCTCTGCTCCTGGGGGCCTCGGTCTTCCCATCTGTTTGGTGGGTGTGTTGCTGCTCCTCCCTGTACCGTGTGGCTTGAGCCCTTCTGATGCCATGTGCAACTTGGCTCTTAACAGAGGCACAGCGTGCAGGGGTAGGCAGGGACCCTTGCCTGGGACCTCCCTCATTTCAGCCCCTCTACCCTACCCCCGTGCAGGTATGGTGTGAACCGGCTAGAAGAGATGTTGAGGCCCCTGGTGGAAGAGGGCCTGCGTTGTGTCCTGGTCTTTGGTGTCCCCAGCAGAGTTCCCAAGGTGAAGAATCGCAGGAGGAATTGAGGGGGGGGTGGTTTGGGTGAGTGTGAGCTAAGTTTCCACACTGACCCTTGCTCTGGCCTTGTGCTGGCCTTGGGGCCACAGCTGAATGGACCTGGCCCCTGCCCCTGAGATAGCACCCTTATAAGGTCAGGAAGCTAAGTAGGACTGCGACACTCTGGCCAAGTCAAGTCCCCTCTGTAAAATGGAGGCAGTCCTCACTGTGCTCCCTCGTCCAGGGGCTGTGATGATGATGGAAGGAGCGGGCCGGGCTGTGCTCTGTGACGGCTTTCTGTCATGCTTCCCTAAAGCTTCATGTAACAGACTCACCGCTTTGTCCTTCCCCTGCCTAGGACGAGCGGGGCTCTGCAGCCGACTCTGAGGACTCCCCAACTATTGAGGCGGTCCGTCTGTTGCGCAAGACCTTCCCCAGCCTCCTGGTGGCCTGTGACGTCTGCCTGTGCCCCTACACCTCCCATGGTCACTGCGGTGAGCACCCTCCCTCCACCAGCCCTGCTGGCACCCACAGTTCTCCCTACGATGGGGACGGGCCAGGGCCCAAGATGCTCCCCAAAACCCAGCTGTCTGTCCTGCAGGGCTTCTGAGCGAGAACGGGGCAATTCAAGCCAAGGAGAGCCGCCAGCGGCTGGCAGAGGTGGCACTGGCCTATGCCAAGGCAGGTGAGTGAGTCAGCCACCAGCAGGGCTGAGCCCCTCCAGGTCACGGAGGTGGCAGAGTGGATAGGAGGTCTGAGAGTTCTGAAGGTGACCCTCTGCCCCTCAGGATGTCAGGTGATAGCCCCGTCGGACATGATGGACGGACGCGTGGAAGCCATCAAGGATGCTCTGATGGCACATGAACTTGGCAACAGGGTAGGGGCAGGGAGTGTGGGGAGGGGTGGGGCGAGGTGAGGAGAGAGCCTGGACCAGGCCTGCCCTCATATCTGCCAAGAATCGTAGAACCGAAGACAGCACCAGACGAGGCCTTTGGGATCCCTCCCAACCTCTGCACTCCCATGGGGAAATCAAGGCCCAGAGCTCCAACGGGACTAGACCACAGGCCCTTTGCTTCCGGCCTAGGTCCTTTCTCTCCCCATCTCCTCCCCCTGGGGCATCTGAAAGGGCTGCCTGAGCCTCGACCCCCATTGTCTCCCCGTAGGTCTCCGTGATGAGCTATAGTGCCAAGTTTGCTTCCTGTTTCTATGGACCTTTCCGGTGAGTGGGGATAGGCAGGGGTCTGCTGTTAAATCCCTGATCCGTTAACCCCAAAGCTGGAGCCCCCCCCTGATGCCTCTGCTCCCCAGGGATGCGGCTCAGTCAAGCCCAGCCTTTGGAGACCGCCGCTGCTACCAGCTGCCCCCCGGAGCACGAGGCCTGGCCCTCCGAGCAGTGGTGAGTGACCAGGGTTTGGGCCCCGCCGAGCCTGTCCCTCCCACCTCGCCTCCTGAGCCCTGCCCACACCAGCCCTCATCCCTTAGGACCGGGATGTGCGGGAAGGAGCTGACATGCTCATGGTGAAGCCGGGAATGCCCTACCTGGACATTGTGCGGGAAGTGAAGAACAAGGTGAGCACAGGCAGAGACAGAGGGGCTCAGGGAGGTGAGAGAGCTTGTCCACAGACTCGGGGACCTTAGGTTGAAGGGCTGCAGAATCTCAGAGTTGGAAGCAATCTGCCCCTCCGCATCCCTGCCCAGGAACCACCATGGGCTTCTGGACCAGGGCTGACAGGAGCCTTGGAACCACTCTGCTTGACCAGTTCAGGAATGGGCCAGGCTGCCAGCAGCAGTGACTGGGGGCATGGGGCTCCACATGGTCACAGATCGGCCAGGGAGGAAGGGACACTCGCTGGGACACGCCCACCCTCCACTTCAACCTGTCTGCCCTCCGCTGCTTCTCCGTAGCACCCTGAGCTCCCTCTCGCTGTGTACCACGTTTCTGGAGAGTTTGCCATGCTGTGGCACGGAGCCCAGGCCGGGGCGTTTGATCTCAAGGCTGCCGTCCTGGAGGCCATGACTGCTTTGCGCAGAGCAGGTAAACAGCTGGAGGCAGGGTTTTTGACCCGTACCACTGGGACTAATAGGTACTTTGCCCAGAGAGGGAAGTGAAGGCATGGGACAGCCTAGAGTGTTAGGCCGGGAAATCCCAGTGATCTGAACAGACACAGGTTGAGGAAGAGACGTGGAACTGCAAAATAGAATGTCGAACGGCGAAGGAAGCAGAGCCCTCTGTTACTTTTTGGTTTTGAGACCTTGGCCACGGCCCTTCTCCGAACTTCAGTGCCCTCATCTATAAACTAGGGCTATGATACCTGGTGCCTGGCTGTTGTGGGGATTCAGTGAGCTGATATGTGTCATTGGCATATGCCTATCGCCCCCCATCAATGGGAGCTGGTTTTGTTGGTGTAGCACACAGCATGAGAAGGGGGCTTACAGCTCGCCTCTTTCCCCCACTGTGCATTTTACACATTGGCCGACTGATGCCCAGAAAGAGAAGATGACTTGCCTGTGGTCACACAATGTGCAGAACTAGACCTGACTAGAACTGGGCTCAATCTTATGTTGCGACGACCCCGGGCTGTGCCTCTTCATGGTAGCCTTCTGCCCTCCCTGGCCTTCATCTCCCGGAAGATGTGTTCAGAACTGATGCCCCACCCCTCCCCTGCTTCTTGCTTCTCTGCCCACACAGGTGCTGACGTCATCATCACCTACTACACACCTCTGCTCTTGCAGTGGCTGAAGGAGTGATGGAGAGAGTGTGGAAGCCCCAAGAACTAGAACATTAAAAAGGTCCCGGGGCCTTGGAGAAGTGAAAAACAAAGTAAATGCTGCTTTTAGAACTGTGTCCTCGTGCCCTCTTCCTGCTCACATGCCCCAGGTCGTTTCTGCCAGCATGCCAAATCTTACCACTCGCAGCCACATCCTCAACGGGCTCTCCCGATCTTCCCCACTCCTCCGCTGGGGCAGCCCTGAGGCTCACCTCTGCCACTCCTAGCTCCTTTTTCTGGTGTGGTTTCAGCTTGAAAGCCACCAGGAGTCACGGGCGCGAGCTTGGTGGGGCCTGGGAGAGGGACTTAGAGCACTTGGGGAAGAGGAGGGCAGTTGGATCTTGGCTCCTCAGAAGCTCTGGAAAGCCCGAGGCCTTTGGCAGCAGAGCTGAGCGCTGGGACTGAGGCCTAGATTGACGTCCCCAGGTTTAGAGTTGAGATGTGCTGCGATTCCACCAGAAGGCGATTTCCACACAGGGCGGGGGTTGCCGGGCTCCCTGAGATCTGCCGTTCTACTCGGAGCCCTAAACCCAGAGAAGAATTACTCATTAACGAGCAGTAGCAATGCCTGAGGATCAAAATTCAGAGGCAAGGACAGAGTTCCTGATTGTTGGAGATGCCACCACCAAAAAGGCTTTTTATTGAAGAGAGATTTTTTGAGAATGTTGGCTCCTCGCCCAGGCATGGTGCTGGGTACTGGGCGTCTAGCAGGACAGACCTCAGCTTGTTTCTCTGTGTGGAATCTATACAAGGAGAATGGGGGAGATAGACAACAAGAAAACAGACAAATAAAGCAGTTGCAAACTGTAATAAATGCTTTGAAGGAAAGAGAGGATCTGACAGAGAATAACAGACAAGGGGCCTCTCGAGAGAGGGTGGTCGAGAAGCCCTCCCTGAGGTTGAGGGACTAGGGCAGGTCCTTACGGGAAGCAGAGGGAAGCACGCCAGAAGCCACGAGAATGACTCAAAGTGTGCAAAGATCCTGCGGTGGGAGGGGGTTGGCAGGGCTGCTGGGAGCAGGGTGAGGAAGAGGAAAGTGGGCGACAGGACTGGAGGCTGCAAGGGGAGATCCTACACCTTGTAGGACCTTGGGTTTTATTTTGCGTCTGACACAAAGCCGTCTGAAGGATCTTAACCAGAGTTATGTGTGGGAAAACCAATTTCCCACATTCTGCTGCTATGGAAAAATGGAGGGTCCCAAGAGACAGTCTGGTTGAGGGGCTATTGCAGACCCCGGTGAGTAATGACAGTGGCCTGGACCAGGGTGGTGGCAGTGGAGAGACGAGGATGCAAATGTGTTCAGCACACATTTTGGAGGCGGAATTAACAGATTTTGCCAAAGCTTTAAATCCGTGGGAGGTGAGGGCAAGGGGAGGGGAGGAAACAAGGATGCCTTCGCGGGTTTCTGGCTGGATCGACTGGGTGAGTGGTTTCAATTCGTTCTTCTGAGACTGACACGACATGATGTTTTCCCCAAGTGAAAGTTAAGGCCCATTTAAGGAGGAGTCACTTTGCAGGTCCACCTACCCATCTGCAAAGTGACAAAAAATCCCAACTTTAGGGCCAAAAAGCAAGTTCAGTTTGGACCTGAGAGTAATACAGCCTCTTTCAAAATTTAGAATTATGAACTCCTGGCGGCTCCTACAGTCAGACAGTCCTCTCTGACTCCTGGTAGTCTTTCCTAGCACTGTCGCCGACTTAACTGAAGATGCGAGCTCAGCCTTTTGAGAGATGGTCCGCTGAAGTCAGGGCCTGAAGAGTTGCAAAGCTTCACCTTCCAAGGAGCTTGAGCCTGGATCTACCACCTAGGGGCCTGAAGCACTAATTGGGGAGCAGCCATTGATGGGCCTCGGGCTTTGACCAGACCAAGACCTTTTGCCATCTTAGCTTCTTGGCTTCCTGTCTCCTGGCCCCTGAACTGCTTTCTGGTTAGTCTGCAAGGGCAGCTTTTTCAAGGCCATCTCGCATTCATCATTGCCAAGCAAATGGGCTTGGCTCTCTTCTAGGCACAGAGAGATGGGAGACAGACACTGTCCTTTAGGTACAAATGTTACAGAACCAAAGCTGGTCCGCTTCTTGGTGAGTTGAAATCAAAGCCTTCACCAGAAGTAGTTGTCACACGAAGTCACGTTTATTTGCAGCAAACCAGGAGCCCATGGGGAATTATTTCCAAAGCCGTGGGTCCCCAAGCAAGAGACAGCAGGCGCCTTTTATTTCGGATGGGGAGTGAATATTCAAAAGGGAGAGGTGGGTATTTGCTTGCGCAGGCTCAGCTGGAAAACATGCTTCCACATACGTTGCGTGTTATGATAATAAGGCCTAAGCTGCTCCTGGGGCAGAGATCTTATCGTTAAAATAAAGTAAAGGTCATCTCTTGGGCACTTCTGGGCCCTCTGCACAGGTGTCCCTTTTGTGGTGGGGTTTGGACCGGTTCAGGGTGGTTGGTGATTGCATCCCAACATACCTAAAAAAGCAATTTGGAGAAACAGTTAAGTGCTTCCAAAACCTCCTTTGAGTTCCTGAGGGCAGTTCGTTGGTGACGCAAACAGTCCACAAGAAGCAAACAACTCTGTGTCCAGACCTGCCCGCTCCCCCGGCGGGGGGGTGGGAAAGTGGTAAACATCGAGTGGAATGAGGATGCGTCTCCCTGAGGAGAACCAGGCGGCAGACATCCCTCATGACCAGTGATGTGCTGTGAAGGAGGTCACCGGGACCTGATCTGGTTTGAGGATCAGAAAATGCTTCCCTGAGGGACTGACGTTTAAGCCTAGACCTGGAGGATCTAAGCAACCAAGCTATGACGTGTCTGGGGAACAGCATTCCAGGCAGAGGGAAGAGCAGTGCAGAGGCCCTGGGGCTAGCATGAGCCGGAAGAACACATGGCTGGTGTGGCTGGTGCACAGGGAAGGAGGGAGGAAGAGGTGACCTGAACTGAGCGGAGAGAAACCGAGGCCAAACCCTGCGGGGACAAAGGCCATGTTAGCCTTTTGAGGCTTTATTTCGGGAGACAGGGAAGCCATTTGAAGGCTTTTAAACAGGGGAATGACTCACTCTGATTTGCATCTTTTGAAAGCATTTTAATAAGACTGGCAAAGGGCAGGTGAGAAATGTGGCCTGGGCTGGAGTTGGGGACACTGCGGGTGGAGAGAGGGGTGGATTTAGGAGGTAGATTAGATGTGAAGGACGATCTTGGCTTGAGTTCCTGGGTGGCTGATAGGCCATTTACTGAGATGGGGAAGCTTGGAAGAGGGTCAGGGTGGAGGGGGAGTCCTAAATTTAGCTTGGGTGCACAATGAGGAATCTATATCTAGAGAGTTTATATGACTCACTCAAGGCAACAACAAGTTTGTGGCAGAACTGGATCTAGATTTCCAGTCACTGGAAAACAGCACAGCTGGGATTGGAACCCATATAGCCCAACTCCAAGGCCTCTGTGCCAGTACCCCTAACCACTGTGCCATACCACCTCCTAATGAACAGTAGCAAAATGATGAGTCTAACGATGCTATTATTAGCTCCAGTAATGGGGCGAACCAAGGGGCTGAGTTGTCTTCAGGCATCGCAGTCGATGTGGGTGGCATCCTCTGGAGTCAGGATTTGTCACCTGCGTGCCAGCCTGGTGTCTTCTCCAGGCCCCCCACCCCCACCCCAGTGTTTTGTCTACAGAGGCGATAATGGCCAGGCAGGCAGCAGGAGTGGTTTGGGTGGTCTTGGGACCTCTGGCTCCTCTGCAGTCCCCATCTCCTGCAGTGTGCCTTGCTCTTGCCTAGTGGTAATTTTATTCTTGGGCAGAGAACTCAGATTTCATGATCAACAAGGCATACTATTCTGAGACTTCTAGATGTCACATCCCATTGGTAAGCATTAAGGGCCTCTCTTAACAAGACTTGGTTTTCTTATTTCCCTCTCAGATGTGCCAGCTTGGACTGGAGCTTGTCTGTTTCTTATGGGACCTCCCTGTAGGCCACAACAGATAGCCAACACATTCCACCATCCTCACTTTTTGCTTTACTAGGATCCCTAAAACTACGACCTCAGTGGGCATATGGTTGAGGATCCCAAAAAACAACAGGCATTTTAACCAGCCACTTTACTGCCAATTTCCCCACTAGGGAAGGAGGAATCCTCACCTGCTCCATACCCAACATGGACTCTGCCAATTCCACATATTAGGGCCTGTGACTTGCAACACCCATACTCCGTATTGTTCCGGGTACTCTTGGTTGCAAGTGCCAGAAACCCCAGTCGACGGCAAAAAGGGAAACGATTGGTTTTCATAACTGCATCGTGGTAAGGTCAGATGTGGTTGGGTCTAGGGTCAAAGGTTCCCATGGAGGACTCTGTCCCTTCCCAGCTCTTATCTATGTTTGCCGCAGCTTGGCTTTATTCTAAGATGGACTTTTGCCGCTTGACAGCAACATGATGTTTAGATGGTCCTTAAGACTGACAGTCCCAGAGAGAGATCCTTTTTGTCCCATCATTCACATAAGAAATCTCTGGACGTCTCTGATTGGCCCCGCTGAGGTTACATGACCAGCCTCTTGGTTCAGTCACTGTAAACAATGGCATGGAAGACGTGGTGCCGTGATTGGCAAGGTCTGCCTCATCACGCTGAGGGCTGGTGGGGTCTCAGAGCTTTTGCACCAGCGCTTCCCTTCGCCTGGAATGCTTTTCCCAAAATCTGGACGGCTTTTAATTTATTTAATTAATTTATTTATTTTTATTTGCTAAGATCTTGGCTTAAGTATCACGTCCTCAAAGCAACCAGTCTGACACCCAATTTAAAGTCATTTTCCAGTCACTCTGCATTAGGATTCAAGTCCAGTGGATATGACAAAAGCCAAAATAATGATAGCTTAAGATGGAAACCTCTTTCTCTCCGAGCAGTCCAGGGCTATGTCAGCCACATGGTGTTGGGGCTCATGGCTCCTGCCTTGTTCTGTCATCTTCAACACCTCTTGGCTTCTATCTCATGATCAAAGACGGCAGGTCCAGTTCCCACCATCAGCTCCTCTTTTCAGCTAACAGGAAGAGGAGAAAGGCCAGTGGAGGGCATGACCCTTCTTTATAAGGGCACAAGCAGAAAGTTGCACATGTCACTTCTGTCCCCATGCCCTTGTCTGTACTTAGTCATATGGCCACACCTAGTTGTGTAAGGCAGGCTGGAAAATAAAGTCTAGTGGGGCAGCCATGTGCTCAGCTAAAACTCAGGTTCAATTACTACAGAAGATGGAGAGAATGAATATTGGGGAAAATGGCCATCCCCACCACGTGGTGTTCTTGTAATCACAGAAACAATGGTCAGAATATCAAAGTAAAGAGGTCCTTAGAGAGCATCTAGTTAAACGCTCTAATTTTATAGATGGGAGACAGACCCAAAGAGGAGACTTCTCCAAATTCACACAAGCCAGTGGCAGACCAAGGCTGGGATTCAGGTCTCCTAACTTCACGCCCAGTGCTCAGAACTGGGGAAGGGATTGTGATGGTGTCAGGGTGACAGGTTGGACTTAGAGGAACTTTAACTCTTTATGTATTACCTTAGCTTCACATGCATTTTTATATTCCCGTATTACATCTAACAAGGATATATTCACGTGTTATTTATGTAAATAAAAGTAAATGAAAACTTGGCCAATACATATATGAAAAGGTGTTATCTTTATTAATCAATGGAGAAATCAAATCAAAAGCACAATGCAATACCACCATACATCCATCAGAATGCCTAAAACTTTTAAAGATAGACAATGCTAACAGCTGAGAATGTGGAGCAGTTGGAACGCTCAGACATTACTGAACCATTACATTATCAACCACTTCAGAAAACAGGCCCTATCTACTCAAGCTGAACATAAGCATTCCCATACAGTGGGAATAAGTGATTGGAAGGAAAAGGGGTTCCAGGGTTCTGGAAATGTTTTTTTCTTGGTCTGGGTGCTAGTTGCATGGATATGTTCACTTTGTAAAAAGTCAAGGACATGTACACTTCTTTGCATTTTTCCCTATGTATATTTTGTAAAAATTAACTTAAAAGATAAATAAGTGAAAATTTAAAAGTAAAGAGAGAGAGATGTATGTCTGGTGGGCCCAGCCTGCAGTTACTTAGTGCTGTAGTATGAGACTGTCAAGGAAGAAGCCCTCACGTAAGAAACTTGGTTTCTCAAAGAGAAATGACTTGAGCCAACGTCCAGTAGAGTGACATGGCAGGTGTCTCCAGGAGCAATCACCAGGCCAGGACACACTGGGCAGATCAAGGGGTGAAACCCTCCGAGGATTTCTGTCATCTGACTTAGAGAGGAAACTGTACCTATTAAGTGTACCCATTTTTGAACTGGCAAGTCAAAAAGAAGCTTGTTCCAGAAGAGCAGGGACCTCTCATTGGCTTTCCTGTGACAAAAGGCTCCTTTTTCTCTGCTGAAAAAGTTCCTCAGAGAAAGAGAAAGGCAAAACCTAGAGGACAGTTAAATCAGGGCCACAACTCCAGGGGGTGCCTTCATATAGATCATAATGGAAATGCTCCCCTTGTGGAGTGAGTGCCCTGGGTTGAAACAGTTATGTGACCTCAAACCAAACCCTTAAGCTCTCAGGAAACTCAATTTCCTCATCTGAAAAGAATCATCATCTACTTCTCAAAGAGCTCTTCTGTGTGACCTGCTTTGATCCTGATGTAGACGTGGTCTATTTACATATGGAGAAACCGAGGTTTGATGGGCAAAGTTAATTATCTTGGAAATTAAAACTCATCCGGACTTCATTTGGAAGTTATTTTGGCCAATGCCCCCATGTTGCATATTGGAGACTGAGGCCCACGTTTTGGGTGGCCAATTCTGATCCCCCCCCAACTCCCACTTCTAGGATCATGCTTGTGACACATAACGAGTTTTTCCTAATGAGCCCCTGGAGCCAGGCTCTCGCTTTCGGTCTCAAGGGCTGTGACTCTGCACTTTGTACTTCCTCCCAGGCCCGAACCCAGCGAGTGAGGCAGTTCTGAAGTGAACAGACCAGCCTTGGAATACAGGAGGAAGTTTTGTTAAAAAAAAAAAAAAGAGAGGGGTGGAGGGAAGGAAGAAAAAATTTTATGCATGTTTGTGTGTTCCTAGAAAAACGTCTGCTATTTTAATAACCAAAGCGGCAGCGACCCCTGGGGAGTGAGTAGGGGTGGGACGCCCTCCCTTCCTCCCTGCCCCACGGCCTTTGCCCTTGCTCAGTAAACAGGCTGGGGCCCTAGCGCCATAGCACTTGCTAATTCCTCGCCTGGAGTACTTGTCCCTTAATCTGCACCCGGGTGCCATTCAGATCTTTGCTCCTGCCCTAACCATCTCATTCAGAGGCCCCCTGCCACTGTTCATGGGACCATTTTGTTTTATTGCCTCCAGCACTTATCACTGTCTGAAATCTTGTTTATTTCCTTGATTTTTGTCTGGCCCTCCAATGTCCCATGAAGACAGGAAGCCCCTCTTGTTTCCTACTATCCTCAGTGAAGGACAGGTCAGACACAGAGCAGACAGATGCTCAGTAAGTAGTTAGTGAATGAGGGTGGGCTTTAAGCTTTTTACTTTGCACACTTTGTATTTTTAAACATTTTTGAGATGAGACTGATGGCTTTTTTTTTTCACCAAAAGGGAAAAAAGCAACTAGTTTACTGCAGAGGACTCTGCCCTTAGCAAATTGTCTTGAGTTAGACAGGTGTCCAACTGAAGGCAATTCCTTCCGGGTACCGACTGGGGACTCAGACCAGAGAGGGGCAGCGTCTTGTCCAAGTCCACATAGCACTCAGCACGCCAGGGAGGGACCCAAATCACCTTCTTCCCAAGTCAGCCTGGGCACCTCCCAGGGGTATCTGGATCCAAGGGAAGTGGAGGGGCCTGGAGGAGAGAGAGGGGAAAGGGGAGAGCTCAGAAAGTGGGCCAGGGGAGGCTGGCTGGGTGGCGGAGTGGTTAAGTTTGCACGCTCCTCTATGCTACCCAGGGTTTCTCTAGTTCGGATCCTGGGCACGGACATGGCACCACTCATCAGGCCACGTTCAGGTGGTGTTCCACGTACTACATCTAGAAGGACCCACAACTAAAATATACAACTATATATTGGGAGGATTTGGGGAGAAAAAGCAGAAAGAAAAAAAAAGGAAGAAGAAGATTGGCAACAGTTGTTAGCTCAGGTGCCAATCTTTAAAAAAAAAAAAAGAAAGTGCGAAGAGGGAGTACCCGGAGGGCATGGCGGGGAGAGGGTACCAGGCAAAGGCTAGACGCGGAGTAGGGGGCAGAAGGGCTTGGGAGGGGAACTGGGAGAGTGGGGTCTTACAAGACGCGGGGAGGGTGATGGAAGGGACGCCTAGGATCGCGGTGACGGCGGGTGACCGAGGGCGCGGGGTCCAGGGAGGTGCCGGTGTGGCGGGAGGGGGCGGGGCGGAGCAGCGGGGGGCGGGGCGAAGAGGAGCAGTGGGGGGCGGGGCGAAGCGGAGAGGCCGGGGAGGAGCAGCGGGAGGCGGGGCGAGGCGGAGAGGCCGGAGAGGAGCAGCGGGGGGCGGAGCGGAGTGGGCAGGAGCCCAGACGGTAGAGGGCTGCGATCTGGAGAGGAGCCCTCCGTGGAGTGCGTGGCCCTTGGGATCCCACGAGCGAGGGGCGGGTCTGCGGCTCTGGGGGGCTGCCAGGCGTCTGCGCGTCTCCCCGAGCCTGCGTGCGGCTGAGGCTTCCCACGTGACCGGCTTTCCTGCGAGGCAGGTGGGTCCTGGGCCTCTGGCATGGCGCCGAGCCTTCGGAGCTCGCTGGAGCCTAGAAAGTCCCCAGGAGTCCAGCCCCTTCCGCCCCGGGTCACCCAGCATAGGGCAGCTCTGAGGGCGGGCGCTCTGGACTTTGCCGCCACCGAGCCCTGGAGGTGGGGAGGCAGGGTGAGCAGTTCAGGCTTGCAGCCCGGATCCCCAGCTCTGGCTTCCAGAAATGGAAAACGCTGTGGGTCGGGGGCCAGAGCCCTTAATTCTAGTCGTAGCTGTGCCCGTGACTCCCTGCGTGACTTTGGGTGAATTCTGCCCCTCTCTGGGCCTCCAGTTACCCATTTGCAGAGTGAGAAGGTCTTTGGATGGGTCTGCCTACCTTCCAGACAGAATTTATTTCCTTGACATACTTCCTCTACGGCTTGTTGCCCAGATTCACCAGCCAAGTCCGCCCCTCAGCAACACTTTGGCTGCACTCTGAACTTTGGCCCCCCAGGTTTCAGCTGGAAGCCTGGGCTTGTCTGGAATCGACTCTGGGGAGAGAAGCTGCATCCAACCTCTGGACAACAGGCTGGGGCATTTGCTGTGCACTGGGTGAGTAATCGTTTCCTGGGCTTTTTACTCAGGCAGATGTTATCACCTCCAGTAAAGATGACGCTGGGCTCAGAGGGGCTTAGAGACAGGTAGCACCAGGCAGCTCTGTCCTGCGCTGTACAGGTTCACCAAGTCGGATGTCTTTTTTAATCCAAATATGTCTAAGCATGATGCAGAGAAAGGGAGCACTGGACAGAGAGTCTGGAAGTTTGCGTTCTAGTCCTAGCTGTGCCACTGAATCATCTTAGGCAAGTGTTTGCCCCTTTCTGGCTCAGTCTTCCCTGACAGACAGTCAAGGGTTTCAAATGGTCAGATGATCCGCCAGAACCCTGTCTTTGGCATTGCTAACAATAGTAACAGCAATCCTAATTATTATTTTTTCCTACTTTGACACACAAGGCCCTGCTTGAGCAGCCCCTGTCTACCCAAAGCACCAGACTCCTTGCCCTGCCTCAGGACCTTTGCACTGGCTGTTTGCAGTGCCAGGAACACTAAACCACCTTCATTCCCCGCATAGTCATTCTTCAGATCTCCACTGAAAGTTCACTTGCTTAGGAAGTTCCCTGACGACAAGGACTAGATGGGGTCTCTGGATTTATATCCTCACGGTACATGCTGTCTTCCTTGTGTTTAGATGTTTGTGTAGTTTTCTGTCTCATATCTGTATCCCCTATTCTCGTGGCCTGTAAAGCCACGAAAGCTGGAAATCTGCCCTGTTCCCAGGCATCTAGCACATAATAGATGCTCAGAAATTTGTTGTGGGACAAACAGGCAATCTCATTCAGTCCAACAGTCTTGTGAGGTTGCGTCCTTGTGCTTCTCTCATGCATGAGGTGCATGACATTCCTAGGGTCGCACAGGGAGTGGGCAGCGCCAGAATTTTAACCCACCCTGTCTCTGATCCCAAGGCCTGCACTGCCACCTCACTTGCCATGCCGTCTCATTTCAGGATCTTCTGCTGTGAAGACATTACCCAAGTGCCAGCAAATCGGACCCACCAGGCCTGGAAAGAGAAGACCTTTAGTGTGTGGAGGGGTGGTCTTGTCCAGCTCGGTGTTCCTTCACGTGGGGCAGAGCTGGGGTGGACCTGGCCCCCTCCTGCAGATCATGGCGCGCTGGCTACAGATCCGACTGCTGACGTGGGATGTGAAGGACACACTGGTCAGGCTCCGCCGCCCGGTGGGGGAGGAATACGCCACCAAGGCCCGGGCCCATGGGCTGGAGGTGGAGGCCGCGGCCCTGGGTGAAGCCTTCGGGCAGGCGTACAAGGCTCAGAGCCACAGCTTCCCCAACTATGGCCTGAGCCACGGCCTCACCTCCCGCCGTTGGTGGCTGGGTGTGGTCCTACAGACCTTCCACCTCGCAGGTGTTCGGGATGCCCAGGCAGTAGTCCCCATCGCTGAGCAGCTGTATGAGGACTTCAGCAGCCCCGGAACCTGGCAGGTGTTAGAGGGTGCCGAGGCCACCCTGAGGGGGTGCCGGAAACGAGGTCTGAGGCTGGCAGTGGTCTCCAACTTCGACCGGCGACTGGAGGATATCCTGGTGGGTCTTGGCCTGCGGGAACACTTTGACTTTGTGCTGACCTCCGAGGCTGTTGGCTGGCCCAAGCCGGACTCCCGAATCTTCCATGAGGCCTTGCGACTTGCTCAGGTGGAACCGGCGGTGGCAGCCCATGTTGGGGACAGTTACCACTGTGATTACAAGGGGGCCCGAGCTATAGGCATGCACAGCTTCCTGGTGGCTGGTCCGGGGCATTTGGAGCCTGCGGTCAAGGATTCTGTACCCCAAGAACACATTCTCCCCTCACTGTCCCATCTGCTGCCTGCCCTTGTCCGCCTGGAGGGCTCCCCTTGGGGACTTTGAGTCTGGCGAGGGAAGTGGCTGGGCCCAACGAATACTGGAGACGGGGAGCCCCTTCCTTCCTGAGATGTGGCCTTGCCCCTCTCCCTGCAGCCTCTGTAACGCATTCTGACTATAAAGCAGTGAATGCGGCCTTCACCCCTGGGCCACCACAGCTCCTGGTCTCTGAAACGGTTCATTCATCACACCTGTGTCCCTTTTCCGCCACGTGTCCTCCTCACCTCCTGCAGGACTCACTGAGGGCCCAGCTACCTTCCGACCCAGACACTTTCAAACTTTGCCTTAGCAGCAGGGCCCCTTTGTCATGGACCATCTTACGTGGAACCCCAACATCCAAAACGAAAAAACGAGAAACTAGTCCGGTTGAAGCAGAGGTCCTGGAGCCCCTCAGTCAGGCCCTGAAACCTCTAGACTCTCCTCCTGGGAAGCCTGAGGTTGGAGCTGCTTAGGTGGGAAATCGGGGTGCTAAGCTGTGCTGTGGGGACATGTGCCCTAGGACCACATGAACAGGCGGTTGTGGACAGGGAACATGCACTTACAGTCGTGAGCAGAAATGGATTTATGCCTGCCACGTGTCAGGTACTCTGCTAAGGCCTTTCTATGCATCTGTAACCCTCAAAGCTGCCTGGTGGGCGTAGGTAGTGTGACCTCCACTTTACAAATGAGGAAAGGGATTCAGAAGTTAAGCAGCCTGCCTAAGGTCATGGCTAGAGCATGAGGGAGCCAGGGTTCCAATTTAGGCATGTCTGACTCCAGAACCCATTGGGGTGACCACTAGGTTGCACGTTGAAAGGGGTCCGTGTCACAAGACATAGCGCAGTGGAGAGCCTGGGAGAAGAGGGAAGATGTCCTAAAGGATGTCAGTCTTGAAGGGCACCCCAGTCATAGGGCTTAGCCTGGGAGCAGGAAAGGACAGGGAACAGGGACCGGAGCTCGAGGTGGCGGGGGGTAGGGAATGTGGGTGGAGTCACTGAAGATGGAAGTAGTAGGCTGCGTTTTTTGATTCCATGTCTCTCCTCCCTCTCTCCTCCTCACACCTCTCTACTTGGTATTGACTAGATGCCTCTGTGCCCTGCCCACTGCCAGGCACAGGGGAAACCACAGGTGAGAAGCACATGGACAGGCGCATACGGTGTATGCTGTGGTGCCAATAGTCAGGGAGGGCTCTGGCGTGGACCCTGAGCTGGGGTGGCATTTAGATGGGCAGAGGGACAAGGGGCATTCCTAGTAGCAGGCCCACGAACCATGGACTGAAGGCTACTGTGGGGAGTTAGCCTGGTGGTTTGAGGAGCATGGCATGAGCCTTCAGGTGCCACATAGAAGAGCTTGGCTTTGACCCAGCAGAGGCTGCACCCAGCCAAGGAAAAGCGACTTGACATTAATTCCCAAGTGTCAGGCAGTGAGGATACGGGTCACGAGCTGTGGTCTCAGAGCTGCGTGGGCCCCAGAAGTCATCTTAACCAAAAAAGCTGCCAATAGGTCTGTGGGCTGCATTTGACCTACCCAGTGTTTCAAGTAAATTATTGAGCAAACTTAAGAGTGGGGAGGGCTCTGGCCCCCATCTTTGGGCCCAGGAGCCTGAAGTTGTAGGTAAAGTTGCCTTTGAATTGTGTTCCCAGATGAAACAAAAATATGAGGACCACTGTTCTAGCGTGACCTCCTCATAGAGCAGGAAGGGACCTGTCCTTGGTCCCAGCAAGGCAGGGCACAGAACCCCGTCTCCAGGCTCTTTCAGCCATGGATGCTGAGCTGCCAATCATTTATTTCTGGGACCGTGGAGGAGAGCGAGAAAGACATCAGTTTCCCAGCAAATGCACCTCTAAGATCTGAGCTGGCACTAGGGGGATTTGCCCCATTACCAACAAAGGATACGGAAGAAACTTTTCAATCTTTTAAAACATTTAATAATGTCCATGTTCCCTAAGGCTGGCCCTCTTCCTCGCTCCGCTTTTTCTGGCTTCAAGCCTTCACCCCAGGTTTCCACATTATATTAGAGGGGCCATCAGGTGGGGACACTCATCAGCTGCAGTCAGGGGCAACTTCGTCCCTGTGACCACGGGAGGGCACAGGCTGGAGCTCAGCTGCCAGGTCGGAGGCCAAGCTGCCAATGGGTGTGTTGCCGTCAGGTTACCTGGAGATAGGATTTCCTCAGTCTTCCGAGTGGCTGGGCAGGACCTGGGGGAAGAATACAGGCCCCCAGGCCAGAGTCCTCTGGCCAGGAGCAGCCTGGCAGGAGTTCTAAATCCCCTCCCGATTGTCCTTGTGTGCTAGAAGAATCTTCTTTGCTCTCTGTGCCATGTCATGAAAAGGACTGAGAAGCACTGAATTGAGAAAATGAAAGAGCTGCAGCCACAGGCTGTTCGGTCAGAGCACCATTCCCACACACTCAAAGCTAGGGGGCAGGGGGCTGTAAGGCAGTGCTTCAGAAGAGTTGACCAAAAACACCCAGTCATCTGTCTATCCATCCACCTATCCATCCACCTGTCCATCCATCCATCCATCCACCCATCCATCCATCCTCCCATCCTCTCACTCGCCACATATTTATTGCACACTCACTATGCTCTAGGCACCATGCTGGATGCTATAGAGAGGGTGTTGAACAAGACACCCTCAGAGGGGCAGATGCCTGGTGGGTTTGGGAGATGGAGGCCCAGGTCTGAAACAGACCGCCCCCCCTCCCAAAGCTGCCCATCCGGCATAAGCAACATTTAGGAAAAGGACACTGGCTAGAGAGGTGGCCTGAAAGGCTGGTGGGGAGGTGGACATGGCCTCCCCATGGCCAAAGGTCAGTGGACAATGGAAATGGTCTGGTCGGCCACAGCAAAGACTGGGAAGAGTGGCCCCGGGAAGGCGGCGTGGTGGGTGTGGAGCACCGTGCCCGAGGCTGGCTCGTAGAATAGCAGCTCCTGTGCCTGCAAGTCCAGCAGCACGCCCAGCTGGGCGGGGCAACGCAGCAGCCTCAGGGGCTCGTGCTGCCCGTTGTGCGAGAAACAGAATTCCTGGTCGTAGCGGGAGAAGACCCAGGAGAAGGCATTGTGGCCCAGACGAGAGTCACTGCCAGAACCCTTCCGAGGCAGCTGGACTAAAGCCACGCCCACCTTGTAGGCACAGCTGTTCTGGACGTTCACCGTCCAAGCATGCAGCCCAGCCTGGAAGGAGGTGGCAGCCAGGGCGTTAGGCCAGTGGTCAAAGCGCTCCAGGCCATCTGCACAGGCCTTGGACTTCTTGGCATTGAAAGTCAGGGTTCTTCGATCGTCCGACAGTTGCAGCAAGGGGCTGGCAGTCCTCTCATCAATACGCACGTCCTCTGTGCCTGCCAGAAAGAATTCTCAGTTGCCCAAGGCCCACCCTCAGCCATAACCTGGTCCTGCCAGGTAGCAAAGGGCTTCCTCCCCACACCCCTCACTGGCAGTGTGACCTCAGACAAGCCATTTACTCTCTCTGCGCCTTGGCTTCCTCATCTGTAAAATGGGGATCAAAATAGGACTTATCACAGGGTGGTCATGAGGATCAAATGAAATGATACACGTCATGTGCCTGGCTTATAATAAGTGCTCAATAAATGGTGGCCATGACAACAGTAGTCATTATTAGTCCAGGCCCCTCACCTGGAACTTCTGAGAGAAATAAGGCCCAGAGAGGAGAAATGAGTTGCCCAAGGTCACACAGTGAGTTGGCGGCAGGGTCAGTGTTTGTTCCTACAGCTGGCACTGATCATACTGCATTCCAGTTGGGCATATCTGCAGCCTCAAGATCAGACTTGTCTGACGGCGGGGGACACGGCCCCTGGAAGCCAGGAAGCATCACATACATAGTTTCCAACCACCAGCACATCAGGCACTGATACTAGACTCTGGAGTACAGACATGCTATAGCTTGTACCAGAATTGTAAGGATAACACGCAGTGGGGAGGGTTAAAAGTGAGAAAAATTCAATCCATTAACCTAACCTTTCTGTGAATTGTGTAAAGGCCACAACTGGGCGTATGGAAACTTCCATCCAGCTTGGGGGAAGCCTGCTTTGAGAACCTCCACGCTGAGTGGAAATTCCTGGAGGCTGGAGACCGTGTCACGTTTGCCTCAGCAGCCCCAGCATGCAGCACAAGGCCAGGCCCACAGTCAACCCGAGTCCATGTTTGTTAAGTGAATAAGTGACGCAAATCGAGGCAGCTCAATTCTCGCTCCAGATGTTCTCCAGTTGGCCATCAATTATATCTTCTTAAAGAGAAACTAGGTTTCCAAGAGAGACTACTGAGCTGTCCCACTAGGGCAGGACATAAGGACGTGATTTACAGGAACAAGGTTTATCCTAGACCCGACCACAGAGCACACTGGTCTGGAAATGGGAAGGACTCGGCTCAGCTGCCCCAGGCCTGGCCAGAGCCTCGGCTCTACCGACAAGCCTGCACTCAGCCTCACTGGTTGCTAATGCTCCCCTCCCAGATGCACTAGTCCCTACTGTGACCCAGCAGCAAACCCCAGACAGAAGCCCAGTTCCTCCAACTGGTGCCAGGTCCCAGCAGCTCCTCACCTGAGAGGGACCGGAGAACCGCTGTCGCCCAGAGTTGAGTCAGTAGTGGGCTGAGAGTGCACTTCTCATTAAAGTTCAGCTTTTCTGACTCCTGGGGATCCAAAATGCCCTCTGCTTCCTCAGTCCTTGTGCAGGGGGAAAAAAAAAAATAGAGATTCAGGAAGGTTCTAGAAATGTATCTGGATTGACACAGGGTGATGGGAGGGGGATAGATGTAAAACCTTCTTCCCAGGAGGGTGACACTAGGATTGGCAGCCAGGCGCCACATAAGAACGCAAAAGGGAACGTGGGCATTCCTCCTGTGCCCCCCACCCAGGAGCCTTAATTCCAGCAATGCAGGTGATTCACAGGGAGGTAAATACTTGGGGCCAGTATTAGAACTCTGAGTCGGTCTGCTCTGCAGGGGAAGAAACTCGCCAGTGTCTCTCAGTAACAGTAGCAGAGCTGGCACTAGGACCTGCGCCTCTGAAACCCTGTGCATCTTTCACTCCACCATCCTGCTCAGAGAAAATCTTGCCTCCCTCCAAAACCTCTGCTCTTAACACGCAAACATGCAAACACCCGGATCACATGGCAAGGGACTATCCATTATCACCTCAGCCCTAAATTCCCCTGGGCTCCC